TCTGATTTTTGAAATTTCAAACTTGCTTTCTTAGTTTTGAAATAGGTGATAGTTATTCTCTTACTTATGAATTTTTTCCTTAAAATTATAATCCATTTTTATCTCTCTTCTTATCAACTACACATTCTCCAATAAAATAATATTACACGTCACCCCAAAAAAATTTCTTTTTTTTAATCACACATTCTTAAAAAAAATGCTATTTCAAAAATTATAATCTCAAATAATTTGCTCACTGTCTATAAGGAGAGCATGCAAAGAGGGAGCTCGCATTTGAATGCATCGGTCTTCTCCATCTCATCTTGTAGCCTATTCAAGCTTCGAAAGCCTTTAAGATGATTTAGGGCCTGTTCGGTATGGCTTAAAAGCCAATTAAAATTGAAAATATGACCGTTATTGGGTCACACTCGTCTAATAAAAGTCAACTATAACGGCTAGTTTTTCAATTTTAATCTCTACCGAATAGGCCCTTAATAAGAAATTCATTGATTGTTCTGGGAATGTGAGGTTTCATAGTCAATTGTCTACAAGTCAAACTTAGTTCGGATGATCCCATTTCATGCCCGGTCTTTGGTTTTTCAATAAATCAATTATCCCAATTTTCTTGACAACCCAAATAGGTGTAAGTGATATTTCATAGGTCTAATCGACTTTAGGAGGTAAACACTTTAATCCGATTAATGCATTTTACTTATGACATATTTATTATTTTCACAAGTTAAAATGTAATGATATTTAAATGGATGCATGTATATTTTGTTAAGAGAATAAATCATTGGAGAACTGCAATAGAAATTCCAAATGGATAATTATTTCAATGTCGCAATTAATCTCTAATGTTTCGTAGTGGAATTATTCCCAACTTGATGTCGTCATAGTACTTTATATGAAGATCGTCATACTTTGATGATTTGAGTATTACTATGTCAATAGTCGCTAATACGACATCGTTTGAGGATTGCAAGAATTATATAAAGGTTGTGAATGATACGTAGAGAATTCTCCACTATTAAATATTAAGAGACTTATGACATATGTTTCATCCGTTTAAGTTGATATTGAAATCCTTGGCTAAGGTGTGTACATAAGATCAAAAAGAATTTCGCGATAATTGACTTAAGACGCCTGATGAAAGATATGATCGATTAAATCGAGATTAACACATCTTTATATCTTGTAATTGATCGAGTTATATTGATGATGGAATTATAGTTTCATGGTAGTCAAACAAGTTTGATTTTTTCACACTACGTGATATTTTTCATATCCTGACACATTACTAGATGTCTCGAGGACAACGAAGGTGAACTAACTCGTTTTAGTTTATCTTATTTTGGTTAGATCAAAACAATAATTCACATTGTCTGATATCCTTATCGAGAATCTAATGAATTACACACAAAGGACGAAAACTAGAATAATGAAATTAAGAATTAATTGGCAGTTGTTGAGTGTGGAATTAATTAATTTGAGTTGTTTATTATTGGGCCAAGATTAATTAAATAATGTGCCTACTTATAGGGAGAATTTCCAAAATAGCCGAGTCAAATGACCCATTTGGATTTTTTTTATGTAAAAGTCAATTTTGCCCTAA